TAAAAAAAAGTAAATACACTACATTAAACTACATAAAATCTACAATTTAAATCGCCCTACCCGAAGACATTTCGGCAAATTTGCCAAGATTTGAATATTCATCTGAGAATTTCACAGCATCCATGGTGCTCAATTTTCATTACTGGTAGAGAAAAAGTTGGTGAACAACGTGGCTCTTTGCAAGCAATGAACATTTTGCGGTGTAAATGCGTAGAAATGGGGCTTCAGGTGCCTATATCAGCAAGTTCAATTTAGCTCAAATTTAGGCTCACAAGCTAAAATATACTTTCCGACACACGGAGATCTTACACTATTCTGTGTATGTGTTCTTTCTGTGTACTTTTCGATTTATCTTGATTTTTATTCAATTCTTCCATTGGGCGGTGAACTTATTTGAATCTCCTTCTCCTCAGTATGATCCAAAAGCCAACGGAAATCGAAACCTTTATTACCACTATTTAGATGAACATAAGCCAGATAAATTGATCGCCAGGATTCCAAAAGCGGAGGCATACGAAGTATCGTTTAAAATCAGTCATGATCACAGATATCTCATAATATTCGATAGTCAAGCGTTGTATGCCGCAAACATTGAATCATTGGACGAGGAAATTCAATTTAAAATGATTTTTAAATTAACTGAAAACATTTCGTATGTAAGTATAATAGGGAGTACCTGTAGGAAAAAGAAAATCACAAAAGAAAGAAATGAAAATTAATGAGAAATAGTGACAAAGTGATGGAATCAATGAAAAATGAAAAGAAAGTAGGATCTAGATTATTAATATGCACCACCTCTTCTCTCGATTAACCGTGAGAACGGCAATTTCGGGTTCAGTGTGGCTGAATTTCAGTGTTTAATCATTGTATTTTTTCAAGTTGGAAATGCAAAGGATGAATTTGTGGTTATGACATACTTGATTTGAACACATTCAAATGTGTATCAATTTTTCAAACAAAACCTCATTAACTGTTGAATGATTATGTTTTTCTCTCTCTCCCAAACTAGGAGTACGTCGGGAATGAGGGTGATTTTTTTCTATTTCTTAAAAATATTGGAGCACCAAAGCATCATCTTGTTGAAATTGACATCACGGATAAAAAACCAGGACGTAATTTTGATGTAGTTGTTGCAGTAAGTGATCCAGTTGTGATCTGAAAAAGCTCTTTTTTACATACATTGTAATATTCAGTGAGATCCACTGAAAAAATATTCATACTTATTTAGTGCGTGAGACGCATGGTCACTCATTTGGTGAGTGAGATGCACGCGGATGAGATGAAGCAAAGCGAAAGAGAAGTGAGCAATTCCATACGAACGAACGATATAGCGCGCATACATTTCGTCATTCCGTCGTTAGAATACGGACACACACACAAACACGTAGTACCCATTGACTCTATGTTCTAGTTTCGCGCTTCCCTTTCGCTTTGCTTCATCTCATCCGCATGCGTCTCACTCACTAAATGAGTGACCATACGTCTCACGCACTGAATAAGTATAAATATTTTTTCAGTGGCACTCATCGAATATCACAATGTATGCTTTTTTACCACCATAGTACCATAGTAAAGTATGAACTTGGAAACAAGTTTGAAATTCTGTGTAAATATACACGAGTTAGACTTTCAGCACTGAGGTGTTTTCGGTTCCTATATGTCAAATGGCCGCTGTGTATTGTGTCAAACGTAGCGATAGTCGGTTTTAACAAAATGCTATGTTTGCAAAAGTAACTAACTATACACTGAAACCTTCGTTTACATTGCAGGAAAATCTAAATGGCCATGGTGTATTGAAGACTGCCTATGCATTTTCCACGTTTATACTTCTCATTTACATTGAACGATTCCAGGTATGGGGCCCACTTGGAATGATTTCTCTCATCAAATTCTTATTCCGAGCATAAATCAATGTGTTGTTAACACAAATTGCAATATTCTTCCACAGAGTTCCATGTATTTATATTCAAGTCAATCGGAGCGTATCGAATACAAAATCGATTTAAAAAATGAACAAGTTGTGTCTTCGAGCATCGATAAGTATGGAGTTTTCTTCGAAACGCGATCATTCAAAACACCACGAAAAGTGTATCGAATCGAGTTTAATCAGCTTTTATATCGTGAGCCATACGTAACGACTTATTCGACGATTGAGCCTGTTCTGTGGAAAGAATCGAAAATACCAAATTTGGATGAACTGAAAATAACCGTTCAATACGATACATATCGTAGTTTCGACGGAACCGAAGTTCCAATGACGATCATTCAAAAGAAACAAAGCGATTGTTACAGAAAGCCATGTCTGGTATATGCTTACGGTGGATTTGGTGATTGTCTACTTCCGAGATTTGATCTTTATTTTCTTCTTTTCGTGGAGTTATTCAACGGTGTCGTTGGTTCGTATAAGCACAATCCATCAATTCATTTCATTCGCTTTGATTTTTGAAAAATCATTCGTTTCAATGTTTTTTTTTGTCTTCTTTCGATCAGTTTTTATTCACATTCGTGGTGGTGGTGAGCTCGGCGATGTATGGTCATTAAAATCATCGCAAATCGAAATCAGTTTTAATGATCTAATAGCCGGAGTGGAGTATCTAAAAGGAGAATCATACACCGATACGATCGATTCGAATAAAATCGCATATCATGGCACATCACATGGTGGTTTAGTTGGTGCTGTTGTTATGAATTTGAGACCAAACTTATTTACAGCCGTTACCCTGTTAAATGGCTACTTTGATTTGATCATTGATCTATTGGATGGGGATCGACTCAATCAGTATGGAAATATCAACAAAAAACGGAATTTTGATGTTATCAAAAAATATGCGCCACTCCTACACATTCAATATCCAACGAGAAGTGAAAGTTATCCAACAACATTGATCGTAGCTAGCAAAAAAGATGACGTTGTGCCCATGTCAAACTCATTGAAATATTTAGCACATCGACGTGAAAATGCTAAGAAAACTCAAGCGCAACGAGAGAAACCGACATTATTCAAGGTTATAAACAGTGGTGGCCATAACTATAGGACAGCAATAAGGAGAGATTTTATCGATGCTGTTTTTGTTAAATTAAAATTTTTAGCCGAAGCTATGGAGTTGAGGTGCGATAAAGTATATCAAACCAATTAATGTGGGCTGTATGAAGAAAAACATGTTGAACATGTTGTCAGATGTGGAACAGAATGTACAGGATCGTTGGCTTATGTCCAAATTTTAGAGTATGGACACAAAAACTGATTTTAAAAGTGTTCTCTCCAGAGAGTGTTCCCTCTTTTAGCTGCGATTTCTCTTTTTTTCTACAGAATTTCGCCAATCTTGCTCTACCAAAAATCTAGGTTGCCAATTTTGTTGTTCCTTTGATCGAGCGTCACGGAGTTAGAAAAGTGATGAACAAACTCGAGGTCAACCAAAGAACCATCCCCATTCAAAAAGTTTTTCTACACTATTTTTTATACACCGTCTCCACTCGCATTTAGTTCCCATTTCATTAGATACACGTTGACCGTTGAAATCCAATGGAAGTGGAGAATAGTGTAAAGCTGTTTGAAGTTCATTTTGTTAGAGTAATGTTGGCGAGATTCTGTCAGGAAAATTTGATGCGCTTGCGCATTGTGCAACAGTGGGATATGCAGCCAATTGGAGCTCCAGACTCTAGAGAGGAATGCAAACAAAAAATGTTCTCCTGGACATTATCTAGGACATATTCAACTATCTTCGATATTTATAATGTCGCCTAATGAATACTTTGAACCGAGCATTCAGAGGAATTTAACACGTGACACAAACTTTTCCAATTAAGTATATGAAGGATGCCATCGTGGGCCAATAATTAAATTGGAATCAACTTCATGTATTTTACTAAGTTTTTAATGAAAAAAGTTATAAGTTTTGAATCTACAGAGCATACTGACAAGTTGCCAGTGGCAACCTGGCCCGCTTATCTCAATCTGTTACCAATGTGCTGGTAATCTGCTTATAATTGTCATTATTTTTTTCTCATTAAAATTAAACAGTTCGCACCTAAATTTAATAGCACAAAGTCAATGTAATCAACATTTTGTAAAAAAAAATAAAGGGACCAATCAAAACCTCATTAATCGTAAGAGTCTTGTATTTTATTCGAGCGATAATATATTATTTCCTATGCTATGATTTCAATTTTCATTTTCGTATCAAATGTTCTAGTATTCGCTTTTCGCATTCGCCAGGTGTGGCCTGTAATACAGGCCTCTATAATAGAGTTTATAATATAAACATGATACATCATATCGTCAGGTGAAACACTGTAACAATCTCGTATATGAAAACATGCGAGTCGAGTCAAACGGCTGCATCTATAATTATCTGTCAAACTTGAATAATGAATGCACGGGCACGCCAAAAATTCAAAAGGAAACAAGCACGAGAAATTCTTTGTTTATATCGCTATTTTTAAAGTAACAAATTTTGCTTATGTATTCGTATTAACTGTATGATTTGTGTTGTATCCACTCAATGAGTTCAGTAGCACGGAAATCAAATGTGTATGTATGATTCAATGAGAATCAAATGTCAATAAATATAAATAATCTCACGCGACAAGCCGATTTGACTTTAGTTCATTCATTTTCTTTGTAGTCCCAAGTGGTGCGATGTCGAAGCGTTCCGCTAAGCTCAGAAGCAAATGTAATAAAAATTGGTATTTAGCTTGAAAAGAATATAAGAAACGATCTTTGAATCCATTTCAACTTTGTTATAATATTTTCCAGGTCAGCCAATCCAATATCAAGTCATTGAACGAAGACGTCCCAATGTGATTACATTACACGGTGAAAAGGTAAATTCAGTGAATGGACTTTAAACAGTGTGTGATCAGTGAAGAAAAAATTGAATTAATTCCAAACAGATTTCGGACTATTATGATTGGCTGAAAAATGAATCTGAGCGAAAAAATTGGATTTTAAAGAATGAAAACTATACGCTGACAAAATACTTGGACTTAAATTCGCAGAAGAATGATTGGACGGAAATTCGAAAAATATTTCATAATCCAATCGATTATGAACTGTTTTCGGATGTTCAATTGCTAAACGGCTACATTTTTTATAGTAATCGGGATTTTTCAAATCAATCGACCTATAAATCGTGAGTAAGAAGTGACATATATGTCGTATATTCATATCATCATATGATTTGTTATGTATATTTCTGCTTTTTAATTTCTCATCTATATGTTCCTATGTTCTGTTTTTGTTAAACCTCTTATTTTTCTTTTTTTTCGTTTCGTTCGATTTGAATATAGCATTTTCAAAAGAGTGAAATCATTGAAGGATGAACGTCCACACATTGTTTTCAATTCAAATAAAATTCAACACGGTTCAGTTACCGAGCATGAGTATTCACCAAATGCGAAATATTGTGCGTTTACGATCAGTGATAAGAGCCAAAATTCGATTGAAGTCGTTGTCATTGATGTTGAAAGTGGTGAAACTTGTGGAAACCGCCTGCAACTGTTCAATTTTGAAAGAATCGCTTGGAGCGGCGACAGTTTGGGATTTTTCATTTATGTAAATATTTTGATGTTTTTGTCATTCATCTACGAATATTAACGAACGGCCATAAGTACACGTTCGTAAAATACTCTTTTGCATTTCTTCGTTCGTACATAGGATCAATCCTTCGTAATGTTTGTTATGTTCATTCGTTGCTCCTTGCGATGAAGTTATGCAGATGTACGAATGTTTGTCCCTATGAACAAAGTAACGAGCTAATATTGGTCGAACTAGAGCCACCCAACGAACGGTCACATCAAAACTGAATACAACAATGAACGGTCACAGCGAAGAGCCAAACACAAAACAATATGTCACTGTGCCCCGCTGTAAAGTTGATTGCATCAACTCAGACATTATGTTGACAATGTCAACTTGATACTACCATCAAACTTTAATACATAAAAACATGTACCAACGTAGCACGATGTAGCGAAGCGTTTGTTGTATCAAATTTCTAAATTTATTAGAGCGAGGCACTTCTGTTGCTTGCTTTTTCAAAGAACGAATGATCAAAACAAAAAATTCTCTATGGACAAATGGCCAAACATCCATAGCTATAGTCAGTTCTGTATTCCATCATCACATCCTTCTTTTCTCGTTAGATTTTCTTTTGAAATATAAGAACTCACTTTGAAATTGCCCATAGTATGATCCAGAAGGAAGAAAAAGGCGACAACTATACTATCATTATCTGGATGAACATAAGCCAGACAAATTGATTGCAAAGATTCGAAAATCAGAAGCGCACGAATTGTCGTTTCAAGTCAGTTTCGATTATAAATATCTCATTTTACGCGGTAGTCGAATGCTGTGCATTGCAAATATAGAAACGTTAGAGGAAAATATCAAATTTAAATTGATCTTCGAAATATTTGCAGATGCATCTTATGTAAGTAAATTAATAACGAATACATGAACGGCGCTGATCAATTTTGCATTTTTTTCTTTCTATTTTTATTGTCATGACAAATTAATGCATTCATCATAATAAACAGGACTACGTTGGAAATGATGGGGACTTCTTTTTATTTCTCACAAATGTTGGAGCACCCAAGCATCATCTCATTGAAATCGATATTCGGAATAAAAGACCGAGAAATAACTTTGATATTGTGGTTGCAGTAAGTGTTCTCCTCTGTTAACAATTACTCTTTTCGAAAGTGTCTTTTATATCTGACACTACGATCATTCTACACAAGTTAGTGTACAAACAAAAAGTATTTATCTCGAGTACAATTGCAGGAAAATCTGGATGGGCGTGGTGTATTGAAATCAACGTTCAAATATTCCGGTTTTTTGTTCTTAAATTACATCGAGAAGGCTCAGGTAGACATTTTTGTAACAATCAAACGAAGCAACTCCACTGCAAGATTTATGAGTTTATCTTATCATTTTAAATTTCACAGAGTTCAATGTATATATATTCAATAAGTGACCAGTGCATTGAATACAAAATCGATTTCAAGGATGAACAAGTGGTGTCTTCAAAGATCGATAAGTTTGGGGTTTTCTTCGAAACGCGATCATTTAAAACGCCTCGAAAAGTGTATCGAATCGAGTTCAATCAGCTTTTATACCGTGAGCGATACGAAACCACTTATTCGACGATTGAGCCGGTTCTCTGGAAAGAATCGAGGATACCAAATTTAGATGAACTGGAAATAACCGTTCAATACGATACGTATTTTAGTTTCGACGGAACCGAAATTCCAATGACAATCATTCAAAAGAAACAAAACGATTGTTACAGAAAGCCCTGTTTGGTATATGCTTACGGTGGATTTGGTGATTGTCTACTTCCGAGATTTGATCTTTATTTTCTTCTTTTCGTGGAGTTATTCAACGGTGTCGTTGGTTCGTATAAGCACAATCCATCAATTCATTTCATTCGCTTTGATTTTTGAAACATCCAAAATTCGATAATTTTCTTCAATCCTTTTTGTCTGTCTTCATTTTCCCTAATAATTCCATTTTTCTCTGTCTTCTGTCGATTAGTTTTCATCCACATTCGTGGCGGTGGTGAGCTTGGTGATGGATGGCTGCTGAAACCGACCGAAGCTGAAAGAAGCTTTTGTGATTTAGTATTTGGAGTTGAGTATTTAAAAGGCGAATCGTACGCCGACATTATCGATTCGAATAAAATCGCCTTTTACGGTACCTCACACGGTGCCTTGACCGGTGCAGTTGCTATGAATATCAAGCAGGATTTATTCAGTGCAGTTATTCTTCTAAATGGGAACATGGATTTAATCAATGATCTTCCGCATAAGGGCCGTTTGTGGGCAAAACAGTATGGCAGTTTGAACAATAAAGACGATTTTGATTGCATAAAACGATATGCACCATTGTTACACGTCCAACAACCAACCAAAACTTCCAGTTATCCTCCAACATTAATTGTAGCCAGCAAAAAAGATGAAGTCGTGCCCATTACAAACTCATTGAAATATTTAGCACATCGACGTAGAGCCGCGAGAGACACACAGTATCAAATAGAAAAACCGGTTTTATTGAAAATAATTCATAGCGGCGGTAACAATTATAGGACAGCAGAAAAAACCGAATACATTAACACGGTTTTCATTAAGTTGGAATTTTTGGCTGAAGCCATGGAACTAAAATTGGATAAAAACTATGAAACAAACCAAATATGCAAATCATTTATGGAAATTATGAATTGTTGGTTCCCAGAGCCGCCAATTAAATACCAAATTATTGAACAAAGAGCACCGAAAGTGATTGCATTGCATAGAGAAAAGGTAAGCATGATTGTATTTGTCAAAATTTTGAATTCGTTCACGATCATCACAAAATGACAACATTAATCACAGAGGTCAATCGATCAATGGTTGACTCGTCTATGAACATATTTTGTGTGCAAAAATATCACAAGGAGAACAGGGAGCACGTAAAAATATGTTTTTCATTCAATTTTCGCCGTTTTTCATACGTTATTAGCTTTTTACCTCGCAAAAGTGGTCTTTTCCTTCATATGCACTCCGAGCGCATTGCACCCGCAATATAGCGTACGATGTATTATTATGATGAAAAATATTTTCTAATCGACTGAATTCCAACAGATTTTAGATTATTACGATTGGCTCAAGGAAAAATGCCATTGGAATGAGATTCTTCAAACGGAAGGTGCTACGTTGCAGAAATATTTAGAATTGAATTCATCGAAGAACAATTGGCCCGAAATCAAAGAAATCTTTGGAAATTCCGTGGATTATGAAATGTATCGTGACGTTCAACATGTCAACGGGTATATATTCTACAGTTACGTGAACTTTTCTAGATCAATCAATAAACCGTGAGTAGATAGTTTCTTTTAGAAACCAATGATTTCTTCCATCATTTTTCATTTTCTTCAAAAAAATGCGCTCTTATCAAGTTCAATTTTATAAATTTGTTTCGTAGAATTTACAGAAGAGTAAAAACATTGGATGAAGCTATATACGGACGTCCACGTGAAATTTTCAATTCAAATCGAACGTTAGGTGCATTCGTTGAGCATGCGTATTCGCCAAATGGTGAATTTTGTGCGTTTACGATCAGCTCAGAGAAACTAATCAATTCGCATAAAGTAATGGTGATTGATGTAAGAACTGGACGACAGCATGGAAAATGTCTGCCGCTATTCAGCTGTAAGAAAATCGCATGGAGTGGTGATAGCCTGGGATTTTTTATTTATGTAAATATTCAGTGGAGTGGGATCGATTTTTAAAATCATTCGTGTCTTAATCAAAAGGTGGCCTCGAGACAATACAATTTTGTTCCGTTATTTTGGCCTCAGATGACATTCTTGGGTTGACTCGGAGATGATTTTGTGTGTGAAAACCAGCAATTTTTTTGCTCTCCCAAATGGCTGAAGTTGACTTCAAATTCACCATCCATCACTTTCGGTCAAGATTGTGTGCATGGACTAAATTTTTTTTTGTTCAAAAAATCGCATTTTTATCATTTCGTACATTTTTTAATATCAAAATTTGTTATGGTTAATTCGAAGTTCGAGAGAATTACAATTCACTGCTTTCCACACACAAAATCATCGCTCCATGTTGACTTTTGTCGAACAAAATATTCTCGCCTCGATGTCACCATTCGATCAAGGTATGTGCCGGTTGGAACCGTGTTTTAAACATTAATCCACCATTGATTGATTTGCAGTATGATCCAGAAGGAAGAAAGAAACGACATTTATACTATCACTATCTGGATGGAGATAAGCCCGACAAACTAATGGCAAAGATTCCAAAGTTCGACGCTAACACAGTGTCGTTTATAGTCAGTTCGGATTATAAACATCTAATTTTACGTGGTAGTCGAAAGCTGAGCATTGCTTATATCAACTCATTGGATAGAGACATCAAATTTGATTTGATTTTCAAATTTTCTCCAGACATTACCTATGTAAGTGGAGTAATAGAAAATAATGAATTTTTTGATTGAGTAATAGAAAAAATCGTGCCCTAGTAAATCGAAGGAATTTCTTCTCTCTTTCTTTTGTCTTTCTCTGTCTCCCGCGGCCTCTTGCTCCCCCCTCCTCTCTCTCCCTTTCTCTTTATATCATCAGGATTATGTTGGAAATCATGGTGAATTTTTCTACTTTCTCACCAATTTTGAGGCGCCCAAACATCATGTGATTGAAGTAAACATTCGGAGTAAAGTCAACATGTGGAACGTTGACGTCGTGGTTCCAGTAAGTGTATACGATTTTGCAAAATTACGACAATTTCTTACTTAATTCGTAAAATTACAGGAAAATCTTCATGGCCATGGTGTATTAGTGGCTGCTCAAAAATATTGTAATTATTTGTATTTAATTTACATCGAAAACGTTCAGGTATGCACCGACAATTGAGTACTGTCCGTTTGTTCAACTTTTCAATAACTGTCTTTTATCTTTTCTTCGAATAGAATTCCATGTATTTATATTCATTAACAAGTCGTCGTATCGAATATAAAATCGATTTGGAGGATGAAACGTACGTTACGATGAACATCGATCCAAGTGGATTTTTCTTGGAAACACAATCCTTCAAAACACCACGAAAAATTTATCGAGTTAATTTTGATCAGCTTGTATTACAACGTACCTCCATAGCGTCCACTTCAATTGTCTTACCAATGCTGTGGAAAGAGTCGAAAATAGCACATTTAAATGTGGCTAAATTCAAAGTTCGACACGATTCATTCCAAAGTTTCGATAAAATCAAAGTCCCAATGACATTCATTCAAAAGGACAATGGTTGTGATGCTTACAAAAAGCCATGTTTGGTGTTTGCTTATGGTGGTTATGGTATTCCAATGACTCCGCTATTCAAGCTTTTCTTTCTTCTGTTCATTGAGTTGTTTAACGGTATTGTCGGTTCGTATCCACAATTGATCATCATTATTTCATTTGATTCGATTTTAATTATTTTTTTTTTATTCAACAAAAATTAGTTTTCATCCACATTCGTGGCGGTGGTGAACTCGGCGACAAATGGGTGCTAAAACCGACCGAAGCTGAAACTAGTTTCAAAGATTTAATGGCCGGTGTGGAGTATTTGAAAGGTGAATCGTACGCCCATATGATCAATCCAAATAAAATCGCATTTTACGGAGCCTCACACGGTGGATTGGTCGGTGCAGTTGTTATGAATATTCATCGAGACTTATTCAGAGCAACTATTCTTCAAAATGGCAACATGGACTTAATCAATGATCTTCCGCACAAGGGACGCATTTGGGCGAAACAGTACGGCAATCTGAACAATAAAGACGATTTTGATTGCATAAAACGATATGCACCATTGTTACACATCCAACGGCCAACCAAACCGAGTGAATCGTATCCGACAACATTAATTGTAGCCAGCCGATATGATGAGATTGTTTCCATCGCGAATTCAATTAAATATTTGGCGCATCGACGCGAAAAAGAGGAAATCAATGAATTCTATCAAGATAAACCAACTTTGATGAAAGTTTTGAATAGCGGCGGACATCACTATGAAACAGCGAAGAAATATGAAATCATTGATGCGATTTTTGTGAAATTACAATTTTTGGCCGAATCTATGGACATAAAATGCGATAAAATCTACCGGAAAAAACACTCTGAACAAAAACAAAATATTTAAGGGAATTTTTGGCTTTTGGATGATGATGTGTCGTTTACCATCCCAGGATCAAACGGATGGCATTACGTCAGTGTAACATTAAAACAAATTGTCAGCCGAAACAGTTGATTCATGTTGACTTGGCCATCACCATTGGCAGCATTATCGGACCTTTTTTTTCGGTGCATCGCTTCTCAGTTTGATTGGAATTATTCACCTTTGGATTTTGTCTAGATTTTAATTCATTTTTGAACCATTTAAAGTTTATTTTATTATTATTGATCCAATTTTTTGGTTACATATTCAACACCCGAAGGCCAGAGTAATTCGCACTGCACATTGCATTGAAATTAGAAGTAAAAACAACTAAAAAAAACAATCACAATATAACAATGGTGCATTAGTCAATTTTCAATTTCAAGCCCAACGTGAGTGTCCATGAAAGCTAAATTGAGCTTATGAAGCACGCATTGATTTTAATTATTTTGTCTTTTAATAAAGTGATTTTATGAAACTAAATTTTTATTGATTAAATATTGTCCTCTATAAAGTGAGCTTTACGTACGTATTTTTTATGGTCAGTTCCGTTAATGTTTGCATCCCAGCAAACCCAGCCATAGATGACGGTAAGGATTGAGGTAAAAAAAATTGAGCATAGTTTTGAAATTGAATTATTCAAATGATAAATCAATCTCATATCGCGCGTACTGCGATAATGTATCACGGTCTGTGGATGCGTGCGGCTTAGTCAAATGTTGATTACTTGCACTTTTTTTTTCTTTTGCAAGATTCCGAAAGTAAAAGCAATTTGAATTCAGTGTTCAACTCTTCAAATGTTTCAATCATGGGTAATTTAATTTGCGAAGAATAAAATAATGGTTTGGATTTCAGTTCTTGGAAATAGGAGAAGAAGTGAAATCGTATTCTTTCCAGAAAATACTTAAATCGGCTATTTATCAACGCACATTCAACCCTACAAATTGATTTAATGCCATGCTTTAGCTTGGCGATGTTCAACACTCGACGTTTGTTTGCTGCATTCTTCATTGAATTTGCTGAAGTGCAAAATTCTGGATGCATTTTGAGACACGTTTAGCTGTTACATATCAAATTTGGTGCACATTCCCATGCAAACAAAGTTTGTACATTGTACAGTCACTTCATTTTTACTCGCTACTTATCCATTGTAGTGTAAACTGCAGTCAAAGCCAATTTGTATATTTGACGCTATGGTAAAGAGAAATGCAAAAAAAGTGATAACATCGACAAAAACATTCATAAGCTTCATTGTGCAAGTGGAAAAACACGGGCACGAAACAGTGTTTTAATGACAAATTTTGCAAATTATTTTCAATTAAATGAAATCCAACCATTTTGATCTAGGGGGATTTCTCATGGAAAAAAATGAATGAATTCTTATAAATTTTGAAAAATTTCTTCAATTCGGTCCGATTCGATCAATTTTTGTCAATTCGTGTAAATAAATGTACTTTTACACTGAACTTTTGAATTATGCTTCAATGAAATTTGTCTGGAAATGGGTTTTGGTGGATCTCAAGGATCGTTCAGAACTGCTCCCGGTTCTGGAAGTGGATCTTCAGGATGGGCCAGGGCAATGTCAAACCCGATCTGGTTCATCCTGAGGATCCACCAAAACCCACTTCCAGAACACTTTTATTCAAGCAATATCGTCATTTCAGTACATTTTCATATAATTTCAATAAAAAAGAAGAAATAATAGACATTTTTGAACATTTGCTCAAACTTTTTGTGTAAGAAATCCCCCTAGATTTCGATTGCATGGCATTTTTATTGATTGTTGCATTCGAATGTAGTTAAATTTAAATCAAGTCAATTTCATACGAAATGATACAAGGAAAAAAAACAAACGGTCAATTAACTCGAAAACATCGAAACGAATGCACACTTTTAAACGCAAATTTAACTAGAAATAGGAATGAAAATAATCATCATATTGTACAAAGTGATCAACGTTCACACTAACCATTGTCCCATCAAGCCATTATCACATAGTTAGCCTTTGCAATATTTAGAAATATCAAATGAAAATGAAAACAAATCCAATTGAAATGTCATGTTATTTCACTAATCTTTTTCCTCTGAACATATGAAAAATGCACTAATGGCAAATCAAGATGAAAGATTTTTATCTGATGGTGTTAACTGTAAACGCTTAAAAGACTATAACATGAATAGAAAGAAAAACAATCATGGAAACAAATGATCAAAAACAAAATATTTTGTAAATAATTTCAATCAGTTTTTACGCAAAAAACCTTTTGGCTTGTAGTTTTCTCGAATTCGGTTGCATCCAGATGAGGAAAAAGTATGCCATTTGCATTGAATGTTTCAGTCCTGAAACGAAACACTATCACATTCTGTTAATAAGAAGTTTCCCAAGCGAAAGAGTACGATGAGACTCTATCGTGACGATACATTTCATCGTGGAATAGTGCTAGCGCATGTACGCAACACTTATCCTTTCTCACTGCTGCTATGTTAAACATAGTATGCTGTTCACGCACATCGATACATGACTGTAGCTCCAGGGTGCACGCATACAGTCATGTATCGGTGTGCGTGAACCGTTTACTATGTTTGACATAGCAGCAGTGAGAAAGGAGAAGTGTTGCGTACATGCGCTAGCCACTATTCCACGATGAAATGTATCGTCACAATAGAGCCAAATTGTACTCTTTGGCTTGGGTTTCAATACAGTCCAAAGGTCAACGAATTCAAGTTTACTTCGCAAACTGAAATGTCTCTTTGCTTTTACTTTGATGCACACACATAGTGTGGAGTAGCTCCACTGGAGCTCATTTGAATTTTGTATTAGAAATGTATGCATTTTGTAATAAACAACATATTTCAGTGTGGAAACGCATTACTGGGCCACTTTGGTGACTTGAGGCACCGGGTAATTCTGTGAAGAAAAAAAGTTCTGCTGTAGTCTATTGGGGAAATTCCTTAGAGACCTGGACAGCAAAATTGCAAACTTTAAGAAAAAATGTCTATTTTTAAACTTATCTTATCTCGTTTTAATTGAAATCGTCTCTTTCTGAGCTTGAATCAATATATTTTAGTTAGCTTAACTTATGTGCAAGCCAAACGAGTGAAATATTGTGAATGTGAGTGAGAATGCATCGCTAGCATGTATTTGTCGTCAAATTGGCGAATCTATAAGCATATGCTCGCTTTGATTCAGTATTGGGCGGACAGTCGAACGAACATCACTTAAAAGAACAGCCAAAGCTGTTCAGTTTTCAATCCAAGTGATTTGAATACTTGGAAAAAACTTGGAAATTTTGCTGCATTTTTCTTCTACATGGACTTTGGTCTTATTCGAATGAAATCCAAAGCAAAAATGTCATTTTTTCAGCGTTTTCAAATCATTTGCATTCGATTACTTGAACAATTCTTCGCATTCTACATCGGAATGTAAGAATTTTCGGTTTTGCTGCAGAAAAAGGTACGCCCTGAAAAAGTGAAAGCGATTTTTTTCAGTGCAAATAAATCTATCGTTTTCGGACTTTGACTAATTGAATTTATGAATCAACACTGGCATAAATCGGAAAGCTTTTCGTTTGTGATCGTATAATTTCGGGGAAAAAACGAAAAATGAATAAAATTGTGAAACAAATAATTTGAGACTTAAAGTGTGCTATGCAATTTTTTTTCGGGTGATTGAATTAGATTTTATAGTGAAAAATACCGTTTTTATGCAGAAAAAAATTGTTTTTAAAAGATTGGAACAAAAAGTAATGATGAATTTCGAAATAAATGGAGAAAAAAATGAAAAAACTTGAACTTGATGTGAAAAACTAGTTGATAAATGATTTGTGCAACATTTTTTGCATTTTGTACTGCAAAAAGTTAATTTTTCCATTGAACGAGTTGAGTTGAGTAAATTGCATTATAGAACGTGTTCAGTTTTTGACCAAAATTACCTTCACAGCGCGATAGATGAAGTGAACTGCCCATGTTTTCACCGCTTTGGAACGGGCACGAGTGCATAGTCTAAGTCTTAACGTGTATATTCGCTCATCAAAATGCATAACAAGTACACATTCAATGCAAAAGTGATAGCCTTTAACCGTCATATAATATGTGTTTTGAGTGCAGTTTCAATCGGTCGGTTCGAATCGCAAAAAACACTTAGCGATTGTTAGTTTTTTTTTCCGTCGGCTCTAGTCAATCTTGGCATAAAAAGTTTGAATAAAAAACGAAGCGGGTGTTGATTTGGAAAAAATTCAAACAATTTTAAATAGAAGAAAGTCAAAAATCTTTTCATAAATCGCAAAATATGAAAATTGATCAAATAAAAAGTCAACAATTGAAATTCGTGTTAATTTGAAAAATAGTTCCGTTTGGTGGACGATAATCGGAATAAATTATCATATTTCCGTCCGAGTGCAATACATCTCTTGCATTTCTGCGTTCTAAAAAAAACGTTTGTGATATGGACTTCGTGCACTTTATTCCTATTTGAACATGATGTTTCCTTTTATAATTCTACACATGACATATTCTCTCGGTGTTGATATTCAAATCAGACGAAGTGCTCCAATAAAAAAAAAATACATTTGTAGAAGCAAAATAAAATCAGAAAATAAGCAAAACTTAGTTCTTTTTCAAAAAAAAAAACCATCAGAAAATGATTCCAATTTCCAACAAAAATCAGTGCATCAAAACCACTCACACAGCGCTATTCCAGAGCCATTTGTTTGAGTCGTGTCTTTTTCGCACATACAATGCTATTTAGTGCTCATTGTTCTATGCCTTCCTGGTGCGTTCGTTCACAAAACCATTTTATATATTTCGAAGAATGGACAAACAATTAAGTTCCACTTTTCCTGTTAGTGTTCTTTTTTTCGGTTAATGCAAAACCTTCCACTTGAAGTTAAATATGGAATAATTGAAATTGAATTGCAAAATTGTATTGTGTATGAGCCTTTGCTTTATGTTTATGATCAATGGGTGCGATCGTTCTCAATTACCGTTTGAGTTAAAATGAATGAGTGCAAAGTGAATAATGAATAAACGGTAGCCGCAATTGACTCGATTCAGACGAGACTCAGCACTGAGTGTTTAGTTTGCAAAATTTATTTTCAACTTTTATTTCAAATTCATTTGAAAAAAATGTGCGTAAGACTAACCAAAATGCGTAAAAATAACCAAATGTGTGAAAGTTCTGCTCTTTTGACTTAATTTCTTACTCAAATGTCACATTTTTAGTGCTCTTCATATTCGCTATCATAAAATGTCAAAGTTATTGTCCAATTAAAACCAATTTCAAAGTGTATTTCGATTGAAAAGTGTTCGTTAATTTTAATAAATGAAAATTTAAATCATTGTTAGTGACGAAATGAAGTTTGTGCTTTATAAATGCAATTGTGTTATTGCAGTGTTAGATCAAAAATGAATAATTGAACGTATCCAGAGTGAAATTTAGTAAAATATTAATGCTTGTGTTGAGACTTTAATATCAAGTGGTTAAA